GCGATTCTGTAACCTAAGGAAGGTTTTTAAAGGTAGAATACCGCTTGGGTATTAATTAATAAGGAGTTAAGCAGTATATATCACGCGTAATTAAATTCTATCCTACAGCGGTAAATAGAACCAGCCCTTGTTCCATTTATTTGTTAAGGATAGAAAATACTAGACCAGGGCGTAGATTTAGGCACAGGGCTTATTCTATTTATTTTTCAGAGGCAGGTTCTATTTATATCCCGCAGCCGGAATTGCACCAAATTTTAGTATATTATTCAGCGTATTTAGTTGCACCCCCTAGCCGATTTGCATTAGGTTAACCCGTGTGGTTGGTTAGGGTTAGGTGGAAGTTATGGTGTTCGCAGAACCGCCGCAACCGCGACCGAGCGCGCAGCAGAACACTACTAGCCGTGGCTATATATACTATATAAATATTAGCAGCGGCACTAAACTAATACCTATAGGAGGCAGGCGTGGTTAATATCTAATAATAGCGTATTAGGTGCAGGCAAGGAAGGTATAGCAGCAAATAAGGTAGCTACAGGCCCAATTTTTAGTTAGGGACGAGAACTTTAAGCCCGGACGTATATATTGGCGCAGATCCTGTGCAGTTGTATATAGATCCCGCGCAGGTATAGTTGTGTTGTAAGTTAGGCTATAGTTATAATAGTTTGGCGGGTGGTTAGGGTGATTAGCAACCGCAGCAACCGTAGCAGCGAGGTAAAAAGGGGGTGGAAATTGCACCTAGTAACCTATAAGTAGCACTCGTCGCCGCCTATTAAATATTAAGTAAGAGTTAATTCCAGAGGTAGACTAAGTGTTTAAAATGGCTAAATCTAGTACTAAGAGCAGGTATTTTAAGCATTTAGCCGAATTCTAATTAGCTATTTATAAGAAGTGCAGGTATAGTGTATAGCTAGACTAGATTAAAGGCTATTTACAAAAGATCTACAAGGTACTGTGCAAAAAGGCCGATTTAATTAGAAAAGGTGTGTGTAAATAGCCCGGAGTTATCTAGTATCCGAGTAAGTTTAAAATGCCGGACAGTATTATAGCGCCAGTCAGCCAGTTGCTGTTGTATTCGGATAGATTATTATATTAACTAGAACCAGGCCGTTGCCGTTATATATCGCGGAGCATTAGAGTAATAAGAAAGCATTAGCAAAAGATCTATAGGTGGTTAGCAGGAAGGAAGCCAGGACGGCTAAGTTAATTAGGAGAAAAAAGGGTGCAGGCATGTATTAAAAAGGCATTTAAACACGTCTATTGCCAGCGGTTTTTTGTATAAGGCTACAGATTACAGTATTTTAAAGTGTAACAACCTAGGTAAGGCCAGGAAGCCAGGCTAGAACCCGTTCCTGTTAACGGCAAGATTATATAGGCGCAGTTAGGGAAGAAGATAGCAGAAGCGTGGGTAAATATAGAAAAGCGAGTCCAAACAACTATCTAGGCCGGTAAGAAAGACAAGGTAAACCTGTGGTTGGAGCGGACGCAGTAGTTGCTGTATTTAGTAGGCATAGAGAGGCCGGGTTTATTAGCATATATTAAGGAGCTAAACGCAGACCTAAAGCAGGAGGAGGAACCTGTTAAAGCCGCAATTTAGGAGGCTATAAACGGGTTAGCGCGGTTTAGCCAGGCGTTAGTTATTAATCGAGTCGGCGTATTTATACGGTTAAAGGCAATTTAAACAGAAAAGTACTAAACGCGGTACTAGCCGTTGCAGCCGTATATAGACAAGAAGTCGATTAGTGAATACACCCGGCTGTAGAAGCAGATGTTAATATTTTTTACCTGTACGCAGCGTAAGCATAAGTAGAAGAGCTCTAAGTACCGGTTTACGCGGCAGCAGTAAGAGGCGTAGGAGGCGTTAATTAAGCAGGCCGAGCGAGAGGTGGAGGAAGAGAATAAGATAGAAGAAAAGGAAGAGGATAAGATAGAAGAAAAGGAAGAGGATAAGATAGAAGAGAAGGAGGATAAAATAGAAATTAATAAAATAGATAGCAATAAGGAGCAGGGAACAGGAGATAGCAGGCCTAAGGACGCCAGCAGTAAGCTAGAAGGGTTAACAGGCATCTAGAAGGTGTGTTTGCAGTTTTATATTAAGTTGCTAAACCAATCTATTACCTATAAGGAGTATAACAGCCCGTTAGTATATATATTAGCGGTGTTAGGTGTTAAGAAGAACGGCTAGAAGGGCCCCGAGTTATATCCGCCTATTTTATTAGCCGTTATTAAGGTTACCTATTTTATAGTAGTTTAGCAAGCGTTAGAGTTATTAGAGCCGTTTTAAGATAGCAAGTTCGATAGTAATAGTGCGTACGAGAGCAACAACAGCAGTACACTGTCCCGGCAGCGGCGGAAAAAATGTTTACAGTTTATTTAAGAGATAATAGATAAGTTTATAGTCTAAGAGAGCCACAGGCTAATATAGTAGATGTTAGATTTACGGACGTACAGGTTAAAGATCTATTATAATAGTATATTAAGAGGCCACGTTAAATAGATAGGCTATAATAAGTTGTTATATAAGGGGTTATATTTTAATATAGCCTAGTTCCGCAGTATAGTATATAGGTTAGTTATAGAGAGCCGACGGTTGTTATTAGAAGAGCTGTTGTTTTTTAATAGCGGGATTTTAGCATATATATATACTAAAATCCTGCTACCTAGCAAACGGAACAAGACAACTAATTAAGTGCCTGTAATCCTATAGAGTAAATTACGGGACAATCTAATAGATAAGCGACCGGGATGGAATTTTTTAAAGGACTATTAAACGCGGTTGCCTGTTAATAGAGAAATATAGTTGTTTAATTGTATTAAACGTAATCCTATAACCTAAGGAAGGTTTTTAAAGGCAGAATACCGCTTAGGTATTAATTAATAAGGAGTTGAGCAGTATATATCACGCGTAATTAAATTCCGAAAGAAGTTAATTATATTAATATATATATTAGGGGGGCAGCTAGTATAAGAACCCGAGGTTTTAAGCGTTCGGCACAGCAATATAGTAAAGGGCGGGCATTGCAATATATTTATTAAGGACGGCATAGTGGTATTTATAACACGATACTATAAGAGTTATGCAGTTAGTGGCAATATTAAGATTATCTATTAATATATACCGCGCAAGGTGGGGGAGTTATTAGTATAGTATTTATAGTTAGTGTTGCCGTTCCAGCAGCAATTAGAGGCGATAGTGTGGGAGAAAAAGGCAATATTATCGCATTTATAGCCGGCCGACCTAAGCGGGCGTAAGTGGACGTCGGAATAGTTGCAACAGGCGTTAAAGCGCGAGAGCAGGGTTAGGTTAGGGCAGGAGCTAACTATCTAGTTATACCGTGAAATTGCTATTAGTATTAGCAGAAGGTTTATGCGCGGTTTAACGGCGTTTAGGGCAGAGGACAATAATAACAATAAGAAATGGAATAAGGAGAATATAGCAGCAGCGATTGCAGATAAGCAGGCCGGGCATATATCGCATATTGCCGGGTTAGTATATACGCAAGCAATTATAGAGCAGGCAGGAGCAGTAGCCGATAAAAGGCAGCAGTTCCGGGTATTAAGTATAGATTAGCATCGGTTTTTAGGATATTAGTCGGCCGTTAATAACAAGTTTATATTAAAGAAGCGGAAGCGGGCTCTGTTTAAAAGCGAAGCAGATAAAGGTTAAAAAGATTAATAGGCGCGGTTAAGAAAGATAGATATAGCGGTATAGTTAAAGCGGATAATAGGTATAAAGGCAGTGTTCCAAGGCGTGTAGGAGGACGCAATCGCGACAATTACAGCAGGCAAGAGCCCGGTAGTAGCAGTAATACCAACTAGTGCAGGAAAAAGCTTATTATTTATATTGCCAGCGTGGGCAGAGCAGGGTGGAATAATAGTAGTTGTAGTGCCGTTAATTGCATTACAAGGGGACATAAAGCGGCGATATAAAAAGCTAGGTATTTTATATAAGGAATAGGAAGAACGGCACCCCCTAGATACAGTAGCTGTTGTATTAGTAACGCCGGAATCCGCCGTTAGTAAGGGATTTATAACGTTTTTAAATTAATTAAAAGCAACGCGGCAGCTGGATTAGATTATTATTAATAAGTGTTATATTGTTTTAAACCGTTAATATACGTTCCGAAAGCAGATGCAGTAGTTAGGTAAGCTAGTGGCGGCCGAGATGTAGATAGTATTATTAACCGCAATATTGCCGCCGATAGAGGAAGGGGAATTGTATTAAAGAATGCATTTCTAGAGGGAGCAGGTAAAGATATTTAGGGCGAGGACGGCATAAGTAAATATAGCGTATTATATAGTTTAAGTAGATAGAGAAGGAAGATAGAAGACAGAGGAAGCGGTTTTAGGGATAATTTAAAGGAAAATTCAGAGGATTTAAACCGGGAAGGTAGTAGTATATAGTAGCACGGTTGGAAAAGTGAAAAGAATAGCGCAGGCGTTGGATTGCAGCGCGTATTACTATAACGCAGTAGGTAAAGCAAGTATATTAAGCAAGTTTATAGACGGCAAGCAACGGGTAATTATAGTAATAAGCGCGTTGGGTATAGAGGTAGATATACCGGATATTCGGTGTATTATATATATAGATCGGCCGCGAATATTATTAGATTACGCACAGGAGAGTAGCAGGGCGGGGCAGGATAGATTGCGGAGCAAGGCAATTATAGTTAAAAAAGGGGGTAAAAGGAGAAGTAAAAGAAATAGGCAGATAGAAGAAGAGCGGCGGTTAGTAGGGTTATATATAGAAGGGGAGGGTAAGGTAGAAAAATATAGAAGGATTATATTAGACAGGTATTTAGACGGGTAAGAGGATAGAAATAGGTATAAAGAAGGCGAAGAGTTATATAATATTTGCGGCGGAGTAGAAAAAAAGGTGGAAGAAGTAGAAGAGGAAATAGAAGAGGCTAAGGAAAAGGTTAAAAAAGAGGTAGGCGGGCAAGCGGTGCAGGAGGAGAATAATAAGGTTATATAAAAAAAGATATAGCGCGAGTTCTAGCAATAGGAGCAGGAGAAACGGGGCCCGCAGTAGGATTTAATTTAGGGTAGACAACAAGAGTTTATAGAGGTGGAATAGTTGCAGCAGCAGTTGCAGCAGTAGGCAGAGCGATGCGGAGTATATAAAGCAGCGGGTTTAGAGCGGAGTAATTATAATTTGCGGCAGTATTAGAGGCAAGAAAGTCAATAGGTAAAGAAAATAGTAAAGATATTAGAGGGGAGGATTAAGTTCGAGGCATTTTCGGGTTATTTTTAGTATAGGGTGCTACAAGAGATTTATAATTAATAGAAGAGTAATAGATAGGGTAGGTATCGGAAGGTTTAAGGCGGGTGTTGCCAGTATACAGGTGTAGTAATAGCCGGGTTTATTAGGTTAATATTTAGGTATAAAACGGAGGTTTAGGAGCGTTGGAGGCGCCGGATAGAGGAGATAAAAGTGGATATAGATTTAGATAAGGAGTTAGTTAGTTATTTAGAAGGGAAACGGCAGTTAGAGGTAGTGGAAAGTAATAATTTAGCAGGAGAGTTTTATTGGATTACTAGGTTAATAGTAGAGTAGTAGAGAGATGTATATTTTTAAGGAAAAAAATAATATATAATAAATATAATATAAAAATTAAATAGGATAGGATTAGTTTAAAAGGTGTATTATATTATTTAGAGGTTATAAAAAGATAAATTAGGTAAAAATAATTCCAAATTAAAAGAAATATAATATAGTTTATAGTATAATAATAGAAGTATAGTAAAAAGGTAAAATTATAATATAATATAGTAGTAGAAATATAGTAAAAAGATAAAAGTATAAATATAAGTAAATATTATATTATTAGGGTAAGAAAGTAAAAGTAGATATAAATTAGGTAAATAAATATTAATAATTAGAAAAGAAAAATATTAGTATTATAAAATTCCAATAAAAAAAGAATTAAAAAATAGAAATTAAAAAAGAAGTATTAGATATTAGAAGAGTTTAATTAGTAGGTAAATAAAAGGGTAAGATAATAAAAGTAGAATTAATAAGA